CGGCCCAGACGCGTCGGCGCGAACACCTCCCCGCCTCCAATGCGCGCCTCCACGCGGCGCAGCAGGCCGAGCTCGCCCGGGTACACGAAGAAGCTGCGCCGCTTCGCGACCTGCAGCTCGAGGTACGCCTCGGGCAGCGTCAGGCGACGCACGGCCATGAGCAGCGAGAGAGCGAGCGGCGAACTCTCGGTGTACCCATCAGAGGAGTAGATGAGAACCTTGAGGGGCCGCGTGCGCGGGGGCGGGGCGGGTGTCGCTGCGGGTGACGGCGCAGGCGAGGTGAGGGAACGCGTGCGCGGGGCGCCGCCGGGGGGAGGTGGCGGGGCCGGGAAGAATGACGCAGGCGACACGGCGGGGAAAGTCGACCACCGGCGCGCACCCGGGCCAGTCGCGGGAGTGCCGGGGCCAGAGCCGGGGGTACCGCTATTGCTGTTGCTGGAGTTGGCGTTGGCCTCGCGCGGGGGCACGGGCCGCAGGCAACGCTCGAGGAACGCGACGACGGGCAGCAGCGCGTTCATCGTCTGCGCGGTATTCGTCGGCGCGCTGGGGAACGGCAGGTGGATAACCGCATTTGCATTTGGCGGGGGACGCACGCGCCCCTCCCCGCCCTCGGACGCGCGCACGCGCTCGTCCCACATCGCATCCAGCATCGTCAGATGCTCCTCCGCCGCGCGCAGATGCGTCAGGGCGGGGAAAGGCGCCATCTCGTGGCACTCGACGCACACATCATACCCCATCCCCTCCGCGGGCGCGTTCGTCGTCGCAAACTCGAACGGGTCCTCCCCGCCGCCGTCCGCCGCGCCGAGCGGCACATCGCCCGAGTTGCCGAGGAACACCTGCCCGACCGCGGGCCGCCAATGGCTCGCCGTCGTCGTGTTCGACAGATCCTCGCGCCCGCGCTCGTCCTCCTCCGCGCCCGCGGCAGACGAGAACGGGTAGCGCCCACCGCCGAACACGCTCAGGATCTCGCTTGCGCGCGTCAGCTCGCGCATCTCGTCCCGCTCGCGCTGCCCAAAGTCGACCGTGTTCGGCTCCGTGTCGGCGTTGCCGTTGGGGTTGATGGGCGACGCCACGGGTGCGGGTACGACGGGCGCGGGTGCGTCTATCTCGCCGGGTGCAGCTGCGTCCATCTCCACAGGCGAGGCCGCAATCCCGTCCACCTCCATCCCATCTACCTCCTCGCCCCTCGCAGCACCCGCCCCTCGCCGCTCCCCGCCCTCAAACACCCGCATCATCAGCTCCGGCACCGTCGCGCGCAGCGCGCGCGCGTCCGCATCCAGCACGAACACGTTGTACTCCAGCTGCGCGTTGGAGTCTGTGGGAGGGAGTCGCAAGTCAGCGCGGGTTCAGGGAGTGAGCGTAGGGGGTGAAGAGGAAAGTCAACGGCATTCGAAAGTTTGGGCAGGGCCCTCACTGACTCTGTGCCGAAGTGCATGAAACTAAAAAAACAAACTCACCATCAACCCCCCACCCCGCTCCCTCCCTCTCCCGCCGCTTTCTCTCTACCGCGCTAACAAAGCGCCGCGCGAGCGCGTGCAGCGCGGGCGACGCCAGCCCGCGGGGCGAGTAGAGCACGATGTCTGAGAGGGTTGCGTAGATCGGCTGTAGAAGGAAGGAGCGGGTTAGTTGGGTTGGGAGAAAGAGGGGAGATGATAATGAAGAGAAGAAAGCGGAGGAAGGGGGGGAAGAGCGGGATAATCAAGCAGATAGACGCCGTTAATCTTTCCTGGCATGCGGGCACTGAGACTGGGCCCCAAACCCAGGTCCCGAGAAATCCCAGAAACCCGTGAAACGAGCACGCTACAACCCCACAACCACAACAAAAATCGCACAAAAGACTCACCACCTGAATCCCGAAATTCCTCAACGAAATCCCATCCGGCACGCGCGCCGGGCGGAACTCCCACTCGTCGTCCGGGTCCGTGGAGCCTTCTCCTCCTTGCCCTTGCGCTTGTCCCTGAGCTTGTGCGTCGACCGCACGAAGCGCCGGTGCATGCATGAGGGGCGGGCGCTGGAAGAGACATTAGTTAAGATCGGTTGCGGTTTCATTTCAAAAGGTACAATGAACACGAAAGGGAGAACGTAAAAGGTAAGAAAATAAACGCAAAACGAAAGAGCACAAAAACGACCGCCCTCCCGCCAAAACACCGCGCACACGGCCGCCCCTAGAACGCCAACCTACAGAACCGCCACTGCACAACGAATCATCCCCCCGCTCAATACTCCTGCAGAACACTCGCCGAGCGCCTCCACTCCTCACACCCCTTGAAAGAAACACCACACCAACACACAAAAACGCTGCCCTCCCCTCTCGCTTCGCACAGCACGACCAGCACACACGCCTCTGATAAGGTCCCAAGCAGCCTGCAAAATCGACACAAAAGACCAAAGATCCCCGCAAAGGAAAATGGCAAGACCCGCATCCCACAAACGCAAAAAGGACCGACGCAAAACCAAAGCACGCCTGAAATCACTCCAAGAAGCACACCCGAGAAATAACACCACGAATAAGAACGCCATCCCAAGAAAGAAATATTGATTGAAGACGCAATCCGAGAAGAGAAGACGCCATCCCAAAAAGGACGAGCGCGATACGGCAAGAAAGAGAAAGATGGGACACGCTCCCAAGAAAGCCAAGCCCGTTCCAAACCCAAATCACCCAACGCGCAATAAAACCCCAAACGAAAACCCCGCTCCAAGAACCCAAACCGCATTCCAGAATGAAACCCCCAAACCCCGTTCCACAATAAACCCCCAAAACCCAACAAAAAAATACAGAAGAAGAAGAGCAACGCACCTCGCCTCCAACCCTCCTCAGCAGCTCCTTTGCGCGGAACGTGCACGTCAGCAGCGGGGGGTGGGCCGGATCCCACTCTGTGGCGGTGTTTGCGGTATTCCCGGCATTTACACTGGCGGTATTCGGGTTAGCGCTCGAAGTGGCGGTTGCAGTTGCGGTATTCGGAATCAGATTCGAAGCGGCGTTGGCGTTGGCGTTATTCACATCCGGCGTGATTTTGTCATCGTCTTGGGTGGCGGAGTACGAGGAGGAGGTGGACGGGGGGGAGGAGGATGTGGGTGCGGGAAGGACGCTGCGGGTGGTGTTAGTCTCAGTCGTGATCGGGAGGTGGTAATTGTGGAGGCGGGTAATAAGACAATAAGGGGAGGCTGCGAGCGGGTGGAAGACAGAACAGGGGGTGCGCAGCGGCGAGAGAAATGCGACCAGCAAGAGCAGCACACAGGAATAGAGAACACAATAGACACAATAGCCAGCCAGACAAACACACAACTCACATTTCCATCGGTATCGCGTCTCCGGGGAGTGCGCTCTGGAGCTGTATCGCCGCACGGTGGTGCACGGGGTGCATGTGCTTCCCGTCGTCGCCGTCGGGCTGCTCGTGCTCGTCCGCACCGCCGCCCCTGACAATGCGCACGTCGTCGACGTCCATCGCGGGCAGCTCGCCCGCCTCGTCCGCCTCATCGTCGTCTTCTTCCTCGTCGTCCTCGTCGTCCTCGTCAGAGAAGCCCTCGTCCTCGTCGTCCTCGGAGAAGGAGATGGCGGGGATGGCGGGCGCGTGCGCGTGCACATCGGCGTCGTCGTCGGCGACGACCCAGACGAGGCCGCGGAAGCGCGGGGGGCGGCGGCGGGCTGGGGCAGCGAAGAAGGTGTTCTGGGCGTGGTTGTCGCCTTCGAGGCCATGGAGGAACGGGAAGAGGACGCCGTCGGGGGGGTGGGCGACGATGTGGGCGGTGTGCATGGCGGCAAACTGGGATGCATCGAGCAGCCTGGCCTTTGGGCAGTCGGGGAGGACGGGGAGGGCGGCAAGGAGGCCATTTTTGTGGACGAGGCCGTGTGTCTGCGGGTCGTCCATGGTCGTTGTCTGAAAGGGCCCTTGCCCGATTGGGACACCACTGCCTCGTGTAGTCCGATCAATCACCGCCATCAGCTTCCATTCATTCACTCATTAAACTTGTATCTTGTCTTCAACCTTTCACACACATTGTCTACCGCTGACCCTGCATCATGATATGCACTCACGGACTCTATTCCGACTCGTACATCCAACGTACATCTCTGTACATCTCCCGTCTGTAACTCTCTTCTGATCTCCGTCCCAAAATAATTCTCACAAGCGCTGTTCTAAATTACCCCACAATCAATCATCCGGATCCAAAGGTGTGATAAGGCTCAGTTCCAGAGAAGTCTCATTAGAGGAGGGTCCGCGGTTGTAGGCCATGTCTGAGAAGTTAAAATTTAGCAGTTCGATTCAGACCTAAACTATGTGTGCACGGTGCAGATTTATTCTTTTCTCATTTCAATGATATCCAATAATACACTTCCTTATCTAGTTTCAAGGCACAGGAGTAAGGCTCGGTAGCGGAGGGTCCGCATCTGCTCTCGATAATTGAGGAAAGCTGGAATCCATTCAGATGTCGCCCGAGCCACTTTGCCTCCATTCTTTATTTATTTTAGGGAAGGGTAATCAAAAACTTACTCTCCTCATCTAGTCCCCACACGCAGTCAGGAAATAAGGCTCGGTAGCGGAGGGTCCGTATCTGCTCTCAATACCGTATCAATCTGTATGGGTGAAATGGTCTGGCAAGTGTTAGGGCCATTTCAGCTTACAACATGCCTTTTATGGTAATTTTGTTGCCATCAGTTACCATAAAAGGCAAATTTCCAAACAAAAACAGGCCTCCATACAGATTGGTACAGTAATTGAGGAAAGCTGGTATCCATTCAGTCTTCAGATGCCACTTGTTCAACTCAGGCCACATAATAGAGCTGTACCTTTTTCTTCTGCAAAAAAATACAGCTCATCTAGTTCTGAAATAAATAAATACAGCTCGGTAGCGGAGAGTCGGTATCTACTTTGCATTGACTATTAATGGAAGCGTGCTCGAACCAGGCCCAAGCCATGCATATCTATCTGGCAAAGTTTTTGTTTCTTATTTTAACCATGAACTCCCCCACCTAATCTAGTTCTGAAATTGACGAATACGGCTTGGTAGCGGAGGGTCCGTATCTGCTTCAAATGGCCAATTAAAATTGCATTATGATGCAGACGTCGCCTGTTCAACTCAGGCCCGAGCCATAATGTGATGGTTTCTAGAGATATATTTTTTGCCCTCTGAGCAGTTCTCCATAACTCACCCACATTATTCAGTTCTGAAGCCAGGGAATAAGGCTCGGTAGTGGAGGGTCCACATCTGCTTCAATTTCTGAATTGAACACATAATAATGCAGAGGTCGCCTGTTCGATTCAGGCCTGAGTCATGACGCAGAGCCGTGCCATTTTTTTCTCTTAAAAAATTCAATGAGCTTCCCCAGCTTATCTGGTTCTGGAATAAATAAATACAGCTCGGCAGTGGAGGGTTCACATCTACTTCACTTATCCAGATATGTGTTTGGATTATAATGCAGATTTTTGCCCGTTCGAGGCCCAAGCCATTGTGTTGGGTTGAACTTTTTCTGTCAAGGGAATCAGAAAATTTGCCCTCATCGTCTAGTTCTGGAGTCAGGGAATAAGGCTCGGTAGCGGAGGGTCCGTATCTGCCCTCAATATTAGGCTTCCAAATAATGGAACAGACGAAGCCTGTTCGACTCAGGCCCAAGCCATAAATCTTCTTCGTGCGATCTTTTTGATTTTGATTTTGATTTTTAATGCCCTCACCCTCCTGACCATAACACGGCTTGGAATTAGCACTGGGCCGCAGTTGCATACCACGAGGTACAGGAATCCTCTGGATTCAACCATTGAGTGGTTCATTTGATTTTATAAATTCTTTCAAAAATACCAAACTCAGCCCTATTATTTAGTTTCAAAATTAGCACATACCGCATGGTAGTGGAGGGTCCACATGTGCATAGTTTTCAGGGTACACTGGATACATACAAAGTAGGCAAAGCCTTTCCAACTCAGGCCTGGGCCATGACAGTGAGTTGTACTTTGTTCTATCAATGGAATCGAAAAACTTTACCCTCCTTATCTAGTTCTGAAGTCGGGGATAAAGCTCAGTAGCAGAGGGTCTGCATCTGCTCTCGATACCAGGGCATTGGTTCAGATTCAAGTTATACAAAGCCTGTTGACTCGGCATGAGCCAATTTTTTTCTTTTAGCTCCTCAGATTTTGGCTGATGGGTTTCATGCATGAATTCGACTCAGTAGTGGAGGGTCCACATCTGCTGTCAGTTAGAAGGAGAGATTTCTCATGCCTACAATTATGAAGCAGGTGTTGCCTGCTAGACTTGGGTCTGCCATAAATTTTGAAATTATGGCACAAAGTTCGGTAGCAGGTTCCCATTTGCAGGTCATTCACTACAACCTGGTGAGCTTTCACCCGACAGACCTTACTCAGATCCATGGTTAAATATTATCCCCCAAATTTATAAATAAAATGTATTTTCCTAACCAGCAAAGCCTACATGTATTATGCTACTAGATGGACTACCTACACAGACAGACGATCATCAATTCGTTTAACATCTTTGGCCTGAGAAGACCTTTCAAACAATGGACGAGCTGCTGTCCACATTTCAACTGCCTTGGTGGAATTTCCCTGGTGCTTTGCAATATCACCAAGTCGCAGCATGCAGTCACCCCTTCCTCGGTGAACATCCATATGTGTAAATCCATCCAAAGCTGTAGTGAAAAGACTGCAAGCAGTGTCCTCATCTCCCTTCAACACAAATATGTCTCCTAGGCAGCGAAGAGCTTGGTGGATTTTAGGTTTCAGCTTATTTTTAACTGTGTAGACAAGAAAGAGTATTGTCCAACTGGACATTGAGTGGACCTCATCAGGGTTCCAGCAGCTAATATCACCAAGCCTCTCTAGACAATCAACCATCTCCGGACTTGATTTTTCCATCACCAAGTTCAAATAGTTCTGTAATTGTGTTTTTGCAACTGTAGTATGACCCTGAGAAAGGGCTAGATCGGCAAGGAGAATGTTGAATGGGATTATCCCGCTATCACGTGTTTTGTACACAGATTTGGCTCTCTCTATATTATGATTAATATCATCAGGTTGAGCACCTGTGGCAATGTCAATGATTGCAGTGATTAACAAGACATCAGCATGTCTGAAGGCCCTGTGGGGCGACTGCTGCGGAGACTCAGAAAATTTCTGTAATATCTGAGCAAGAATCTCCCGGGCCTCGACATATTCTGATTTCTCCAAATGCACCTGTGCCTGAGCTTGCATGATGATAAAGGTCATGTCAGTACCTAAGAGGCCACAAACATCCAAAAGCCGCATTGCTCGCTCGTATAGTTCAATGCTGTCTTTGTAGTCACCCAAGATACTCAGACACCGAGCTTCAAGGCGTACTGCTCGGGCCTCTGTATTTAGATTGCCACATAATTTTGCAACTCTTGCCATTTCGTGGGCATGTTTCTTGGCTGTAATGAAATCCCCATGAACACTCCCAGTTATGTGTGCTATTCCAAATAATGCTGAACACTCTCCATTTGCATCTCCGCAGGATCTTGACAGAGACAGTGCACTTTCAAAGAATTTTGTAGCTGAAGCCACATCATCGAGATGCTGATAATAATATGTTCCAGCAGCCATATAGAATTTAGCTAAATTTATGATCATGTTAGTGATTTTCCTTCATGGCTGAAGGGAGTTTTTGACTCACATTTGGCTTCTCCATCATCAAAATGGTTCAAGTGTTCCAGAGCTTGCTGGATTTTATCTTCTGGATTTGGAACATCTAGGCTTACATATGAATCAAACATCTCTGCAATGAGCAGCACATGAAGTTTATGGTCTTCAAGTTGTGGTGCAAGGGGGGAGATATGGGCCATTAAAGTAGAAAGACCTCCGCCACTTCGTCGAGTGAAAGCATTGAAAGAGAGGGTGCAATATACAGTCTGCTCAAGATGAGGATTATCAGGTTTTAGTCCAAGCAGAAGGATGCTTTGGAGGTTTCCAAAGTTTAATTTGATGTCATCAACGACTCTGGCACCTGATGGAGAGCCATTATATCGTGTGTACAGCTCCAAGAGCTCATGATAATATGTGCGGAGAGCATTAACAAGTGGTGATTGTGCTGGATGAAACCTGTGCATATAATCTCGAATTGGGACCAAGGTCTTGAGCCGTAAATCACGGTCAACATATGCAAGGGAGGTACGCAGTAAAGTAGCTTTGGAGGCCAAGATGTCCTGGATGGGAAGATGACTTTGGAGAAGCTCATTGTTGGAAAGACCATCGGGAAGGACTGAAAGCAGGCTTAACAATTGTAGTGCACCAGGAGAACTAGACATCCTTGGACTCGAAAGTGACAAGGCAATAGATACATCCAAGTTGGATTCTCTGTCATAGCCACTCGATAGGAGTGAAGTTTTGTCCTTCTCCCACCGGGATAACACAACAGAACAGCTTTCGTAGGCAGCCAAGTGAGCAATGAGATCTATTGCCAGAGGCATATTATCTGTGAGGCTGAGGAGCTGTTTGATATCCGGATCATCATCAGCATCTGTAATGTCGATAAATGTTTGTCTTGCAGCCTCATTCGTCAAGGGCTTTAAGGGTGCTAAAAATGGCCGAGTCCAGCGAACTTTGGATGGTCTCTCAGCCCCTCGCATTGTAACCTATTATATAGGGTTGTAACCAGAGCCATTGGGATGATATTAGTTCACTTACAATTAATGCCAAGTTCGAAATGTCTGTGAGGAGTGCTAGAAATTCTTCAACATTGCCACGTGAGTTGGCAGATTCCCAGGGAGTTTCAAGATTATCTAGAATCAAAAGACAGAGTGGTTTATCTGAAAAGTATTGGATGATTGCTGTGGTTAAACTTTGGCCTTGCTGCTTCAGGTCTAGAGTAGATCCTATAAGGGAGGCAAGATCGCTACTAGTAGTCGCAGATTCCGAGGTGACAAAGAACCGATGCTGGTACTTGGCAGTGATATCTGGATGGTGCAACACCACTCTAGCAAGACTAGTTTTTCCGATACCACCAGGCCCTAGAATTGCAATTCTCGCAGGTTCCTGTATGAGAACACTGATGATCTGTCCCACTTCTGCCTCGCGGCCGTGAAATATCTTTGGCTCCGCTGGTAGCAAGGATAACGAAATCAGGCTAAGCAAGATATGGTAAGAAATCCGGATTAAAAGCTTGTGTGTAACCATGCCTGCTCTGTAGACTGGACATTCCGCCATTCATCTGAGCAAACATCAGTTTGACGATCTCGCCTCAGTCATGAGTCACTTACCGAAGATATTTCCGAACTGCTGCCGTCAGATAGACCGGTTATCACTTTCAAAAGTGCTTCGTGTTTCAGCTGTGCCTCCACTTGCATATTCGTGATCTGATTCGACACATAAGGGTCATTGTGGACCTGAATAATGATTACTATACATGGAGCTGGACGCACAGATGAGGATACGCACCTGGAACACATCGAGAGCATTCTGTAATCCCGCTTTACAATCTTTCAGAAGCGCAGCAGTTTCACTCTGCCGGAAGAAATGTTTGATCTTGGGACCGTCCTGTTGGGCTTCAACGAACACAGATATCTTCTGCAGTGTTCTGAAGAGAATTAATCGGTCGATTGGGAATGAGAACAGAGGTACGTACTCTGTAAATTTTCCGATCTGGTCGAGCGTTGCAAGCGGGAGGACATCCCCAGCATAAGACTTGATATGAAGGTTGATGATAGCCTGAAGGACGACATGGACGTGCTCCATTAATGCGGTACATTCATCCTTATTTCTCTTTATAGTCTGTCAACAGTAAGCAATCCTAGCCGAGTAGAAATCGTGTTTCAAAAAATACCTGCACCGAAACCAACAGCGAGGCGGTCGTACTCGAAGCAGCTGTCAAGAAAGGGGCATCCAAGACCGTGCAAAGTTGATTTACGCCGGCCACGGAAAGTGCAAGACATTCTATAATGTTGGTGAAACGAGTCTGAGCGATGTTGGTCTGAGGGGGCATTTTCCGAACGGCTTTTCTTCAAGCCAGCTTATATGATATATCTGACGGAGGCCATCAGTTTCCGCCGGCAATCTATTATTATCATGTGCGTAGTTCGCGCTGCGGCGCTACCCAGATAAGTATCTCAGTATCGATGGCAGCCATCTGT